TACAATGAAACATGAAGCAAACCTAAACACAGCCAACTACCTCGAGGGGTGGGTAATCTTCAGCAGTGACCATGACAAATGTTAGGGGTAAGGGCAGGAGATGTTTTGTCCCCAGTGACATATGTTTGAGCCCGTTCTGAATGGGAGGGGAAGAAGAAGGAGCCTGGACACCAGAAGGAGCTTACCCACCCTCTCCAGGAACCCAACTGTGACTTCATTTTCTCTTTAGAGTGCCAAGTCTAGAAAGTTCGTGTGGTCAAGTGGCAGAGTCCAGAAGTCTTTCTCTCTGGGCATGCACAAGCTTCTGGATAAGGAAGACAGAGCAGTGCCCAGAGAAAAGTGGTTTTGGGTACAAAGTTTATTCCTCATCTCCACAAAGGAGGTGAGGAATGGGTACGCTGGTGAGGCTATTCTCAGTGCCTGCCTAGGCTAGAGCTGGATCCATGTCCTTTGAAACCTTGGCTACACACTGAGACGTCCAGAGGTCCCAAAGAGGATGGCAGGTGCTTATACGGGACTTTTACGGAAGTTTCTACGTAGCCATGGGGCCTCAGGACAGCACTCTGAGAACCCAAACTGAGTTTGCTGCAGGTGGAAGGCTCTGAGGATAAGTGTCTACCTCTGGCCAGAGGAGGCTAAAACAACCTATGGTGGCGGGAGGCAGATGGCATTTGAGTTCAACCTGTAAGCCCAGAGGAGTCAGAATGAGCGACCACAAGACCTCCCTGTGGACCAGAAGGAGGCCCCATGAGAGAAAGTCCATCCTGACCACAGCCCCTTTGAGGGGGCAGAGGGACCCCTGCAACAGAAGCCTTGCCCCTGGGTGTTGAGGAAGGAGATGCTTCCACCAGCTGGAATGGAGACACATTTGCTTGTGGTCAGGGAACCGCAGGAGAGGGGCCCACAGAGAGAGGAATTGCCAAGATCCCATAAAGCTGTCCAGGAGGAAGGTCTTCGAATCAGCATTGAACACACCCCGGTCCCAAGAGACAAAGCCACCAGCTGACTTTGACACTTGCTGACCACCTGGGCCCAGGCCCCCTCCCTTCTACTTGGGCAACAGAAGGCCTGAATTCTCCTTAGTCAGCTCCAGCCCCCACCCCCATCTTGACAGCCTGGACCAGTAGAGAAGAAAAAACTGGGCCTTAAATTAAGTCCAGAGTTCTGATTTCTAAGTCAGACAGGACATGCTATTTTTCAATTGAGATTTTAGTCTAGAACCTAAAGTGACGAAAGGATTGTGTGTTACTCAACAAGGAACAGAAAAATCTTACTTGGGTCAAAGCTCTCATCCCGACCAGGGACATTCACCTTTGGGTGCGTACTGGAGTCACCAGGGATCTTAAAAATAGAAAAGGCCAAAGCCTAAGCCTCATTCGGGAGCCGCTGAATCAGAATTGCTAGAGGTGGGCCCTAGAAATATGTGCCAACTAATGAAGTAACCATTAAAAATCCCCAGTTGATTCTAATGCACAATAAGGAGACAAGGAGCAGGATCCTAGCATTCAGAAGCCAGAGTAAATTATTCCTAATGAATACATGTTCCAGGGACAATGGAAAACAGCAATGAAATAAAATTAGTTTGATGGTTACAAGCTGCACTCCTCAGGGTGCTAGAAGGATAAACACTACAGTTTCCTAAATTTCGTTTGGAAGTGAACAGTTGAGTTTTGGGTTTTAAATGTGACCCCAAGCTGATCAGAGCCAAGTTCAGTTCTAAACGTGGGCTCCAAAATGATCAGTCTGGTGTCTGGAGTTTGAGAAAGCGTCCCCTCCCTTTCATGGTCACTACCCAGGTTGCCAGTGATTAACAGATAGGAAGGCACTGGCTTGGTGTCTGGGTCCCTGCTGACATCGAAAGGTCTCATCACACCTGTCCGTCCTCATTAGCACCCTGGCTGGGACTGGTGTCAGAGTCTGCGAGGGCCTGGCTCTCTAGAGAGATACTGTATGGGGATCTCTGCCGACGGCCTTATACCCACAGATGGTGCCCTCTTGACCTGGCCTGTGCTGGCTCCAAGGAGGAAGGAGCAGCATGTCTTCTCTACCATGAGGTATGAAAGGTCATCAAGGCTATCACTACATCCGACCAGTCCATCTTCTTCACCAGAAAGCTCACCAACTTTTACTTGAGGGACTTTGTTTCTTTGCTTTTATTTCTGTTTTTGTTTCTTTCGGTGCTCTTCATTTTACATCTACAAATAGACAGTAAATTCCTACACAAGGTAACTACCCCCATAAAAATCTCAGTTCTGAGCTGAAGAAGGAAGGCATGTTCTGAAGACAGCAGAGCCGCCATTTTAAGTCTCCTGGTCGCATATGGAAAAGCAACACACTTCACCCCTCCCAGGCCACCTGCTTCCTCACAAGCCAGGAAACTTGCAATCCAAAAAAAAAAAAAAAAAAAAAAAGTGTCTCTTCAAATAAAGTAGCTGAAACTTCTTATCAAAAAGATTTGTAAGAGCTAAACTTCTTACCAATTACTATGTGACAACAACAGAAATACTAAAGGAATATAAACGCACATTTGACCTGTCATCCTAAACTGGTAAACTTTAGACCAGCAGGGAAATATATATATTTATATTTTCTATTTGTTTATTTTTCTTTAGTTTTAAAGGAGGGTACGAGGGAGAGGAAGCAATTCTTTAAAAGGCCATTATCTGTATTCTATGGCTACAAATCTCATAAATACCAAAGATTCTATCACACAAGCCAAATGAGGTCAATCTCTAATTGGTCACACTGGTTTATAGCCCACGAGGGCCATTTATATCCACTATCACCCCGGGCCAAGTCTCTTTTATTTCCACTTTCATTTATTACTCCCTGATAGCTGGCCCTTGAGTAAATACTTAAAGGGGGAAAAATCGTCCTTCCTAAAAGCAGATATTTATATTCCAAAGATTTGATAAAAACAAGAAGAAGGAAAGAACAAATGTCTTCATAACATTAACCTTGACTTTTATCTTTTGGTAGATGATTATTTCCTTTAAAGGGAATACATGAGTGACTTCAGGTGATTCTTATACCAGAAATCAATTCTTTCCTATCATTAGCTAAGTTAAAACTAACAAAAGCGATTGATAAAAATGAGGCCACATGGGTAAGAGGAGTGGAGCGCTACCAAATATTGGCACCACACAGAAATGTTCAAAAGAAAATACATCAACGCCCAGTGTTAAATAGAAGCCAGCAGCTTTACCCTGGCAGGACTGAGCATCAATCAAAGCACACAAACCACTTCTAGAACCTTCCGATGCCAGACCCTCACCCTGAATCAAGTTCACCTCCAACGGTTTCAAAAGGCAACTGCTGGCAAAATTCAAATAAAGTCTGAAGTTTAGTTAATAGTCATGTGCCCATGTCAGTTTCTTCCTTTTGACAAAGGCCACCGCAGTAATGTGAGACGTTCCCAATAGTGACAACTGGATGAGGGGTGTCTGGGGACCCCGTGCTGTCTTTGCAACTGTCTGGTACATCTAAAATCATTCATAAATAGAACATTTATTTAAAAACATACATAAAGCGGCTGTCCCCGGGCAGAGTCTGTGGATTTTACTCTAAGGCTGTACTCCCCCAAAAGTGCAGGAAGAAACACAGTGATCTAGAGATTTACTACAGCAAATGGAGCCAAGCAGCTAAACTTGCAATGAAGAGGAAGATTTAATGGCACAGAAAACAACCACCAAGGGTAGCCTGGGTAAGGTGTCCAAACATAGCTTGCTTTATGTGCTCCTGAAAGGCTGTTTGTAAATCACATTCGCATAATTCAAACAACGCTTTGAACACGCTAAGGAAGCTTGTGCATTTAAAAAGCTATTTAATAAACACCAGGGTAATGGAGAGGTTTATTGTGTAATGGAATAAACTGTTGGCTACAGATGGCTTCTCAAGCATCATCTCTGCCCGTGGGGCTGCCCGTTGAGCCCCCAAGTTCACACTGCCCACGTGGCCCCTGCCTCCCTGGCCTCCAAGTTTCCATCTTCCCTTTCTTCCGCCAAGCCATCTTTGTGCAGCTGTGATTAACTCAGCGTTGTTACAGCGAATTCTACTCAGGTCCAGGTCCCAAAGTCCAAACAGGCCTCAGCCTCCACGGTGTTATCAGGTACTCGGGCAACAAGATCCAGCAAGTAAGAACACTGGCCAAACGACAGTATCTGAAGCAGGTAAAGGCATGACAGTTGTCCCTGCCATAACGGGGACTCACACTGGAATTCTCCTGCTGGCCACAAAATGGACTCCTGATGGCCAGCCATCCTTCGCCCAGTCCAAACCATCAGTCAGAGGGAAACAGTTACCGCTCCTAGAAACACAACTCAGGATCCGATAAAAGACTGTCTGCACTCGACCCGGGTAAGCCACACATTCTAGGACCCTGGTTTCTCACCCATGGGGAGATCCTGAATTCCAAACGGATAAGGGGCTAGGAAACACATCTTCACCAGTTCATGAGCCGACCAAATATGATTCACCTGCCCATAATTTTGCATGGGTTTTGCCATTTGGGGTACAAAACATCATTTGGTACAGAACATCATTTAACACTTGAGACAGAAATAATGGGTGCATCTGACTATTGTTCAAAATGATTCATCCTCCCATCACCTCCTTGGGAGTATGAGTCCCTGCCCTTGGACTTGGCTTTGGTCCTATGGCTTCCATTGGCTGGTGGTATGCAGCCTGAAGAGACGATGTACTGGTACCGAAGCTAGTCCCCGAGAAGCCAAGCCTATTTCTAGTTGCCCGCTTGCCGTCTACACTAGCTACTATGAAGCAGGTCTCTTATGTAGCTGGTACTTCTTCACCCATACCCCAGAATAAAGACTCATGGAACAAAACAGCCCCTCTGACCCATAAGCAAGACTAAATACTGGTGTTTTAAGCCACTGGGTCTGGGAGTGGTTTACTGTAAGCACCATTTTGTCAACAGTTGGTGACATGCCCTATCATCCCCCCTCCCATTCCCCCAACCCTGTGCTGAAGCGCCAGGTACTCACCGTCATCGATTCCAGGCCAGCCCATGAAGTGAGCAGAAATCTGTTTCTCATCCTTCCCGTACTCATTTTTGGCTACTAACTTGTAGTCTCCATTGTTCATGTGAGTGGGATTATCCAGCTGGAGGCAGCCATGGTACTCCGTGTGATTGGTAACATGGATTTTAGTACAGATGTATTTGGACTCATTCAATATGGCCCCGTTATAGAACCACTGAAGCGCTGGTTTGGGGTTGCCTTTCACAGTGAATGGAATGCACCAGTGGTGGTCTGAGGTTGGAGATTCGAGAAATGTGATAGTTGGAGCAACTAAATTGAAAAAGAGAGAGTTAATAGCACCAGAACGCTCAGAATTCTCCCCATCTCCAGATTTCTGTGTCATCAATAGGGGATTTTATTCAAGGACCCTTTGGTTTAAGAAAATACAGGACCGGCAACTCTGGAATCCATCAATATTTTGAATTATCATCAAGGCTGACTGAACTCCCTACAGAGAGCTTCAAAGAGACTCCTTTCCCTATACTTAAGACCCATGAATCATAGTCATTTTTCAAATCTATTCAGTGTGAGAACCAGCTCCAAATAGATCACAGAGATTTCTGACAGCAGAAAAGGGCTCATTTGAAGTCAACTTTGGTTTCGAATAAATACACCTTGATCTTATGTAGATTTGTCACCAAAATGCTGAGGGCCACTGTTTCTTATGGTCCTTCACTAAACAACACAAATACAGACAAAAATGACCTTGGAAATCTTGCCGGAAGCCCGAATCTCACATCACTTATCGAAAACAGATCGAATTAACTAAGGCTATGAACACTCCTACCAATGCAAACTGATTATTATAAAGTATGATTAATTGGTACTTTTTGCTGATTGCCAATGGTAAATGCTCTTTAAAGGTGCCTGGGTGGCTCTCAAGTCATGATCTCAGAGTCGTGAGATCAAGTCCCACTCAGGCCCTGCACTCGGTGGGGAGTCTGCTGAAGATTCTCTCTCTCTCTCCCTCCACCCCTCCCGCTGCTTGCTTTCTCTCTCTCTCTCAAACAAATAAATCCCTTAAAAAAAAAAAAAAAAGCATCACATTTCATTAAAGCACACTCCATTTTTGCTAGATTTCAGAAGCCAATGTTTTGATCCTTTCTAAATGTCTGCGGTTCTGTCCAAACTTAGACAAACAAACTAGAGACTACTTTAACTTTAAAAATAAAGCACTCTATCCTTTGGGGAAACAAACATTCAAGTAACATCTTTAAACAGAGTACTTATCCTGAGGAAAGGTATTTAAAGTCCCTCATAATTGTTTATTTTAATGTGGTCTGACTTTGATAACAATACAATTGAGGACTGGAAAATACCTCGAGAGACCTCATAGTGTCTTTTCTCGGGTCAGGAAACCCAAGTCCAGTGAGGTTAAAGGACTTGGTCAAGTTTAGCGAGCGAGACAGATCTGGAACAGGGATCCTGGTCTCCTGATGTCCGACCCAGAAGCCCTTCCCTCTTGACCCTGCTTCTCCTGGTATGTGTTCATCACACAAGGAGGGGAATTACAGCCTGCTAACTCTTTGACCAGAGGCACTATCAAAGCTGTCGCAGTTGTTAAAATTCTTTACCATTTATTCCTTTTATTCTTGATCTAGATTTTGATAGATAAGGTCAATTCCTCAGACCATGGTGACCACCATAGATACTACAAGAGGAAATTTTGAATGTGAGCGTCCTGATTTGTAAGGTCTGTGTTACAAATACAAGGACTCCAGCAGGGGAGGGACAACACTTACCTTCCTCCCACCAGCCCAGGCCCCCATGCTCAGGACCCATTTATTCCTTCCACCATGCTCAAAAGAGCTTTTGGTGAAGTGTTGACTTAAAGACATAAAGTCGGAAGCTGGTTGCATGTGTTTGGGGATAACATTGATTTCAGGATTCTGGTGGGTCAAAATGATGAGAAATTATAAGTCCAGTACCTACTGGGCACAGAGGTTGTACTGACAGTGACAAAGGGTTATGGCTGGTGACTGCAGTCATGCACCCCAACAATCACATATGGAATTTGTGCCATGAGTGAACACTAGCCAGCGTATCCATATGTCTGCATGTGCGTGACGTGTATTTGTACATACACACGTGCCCACTTGTGGTTTTCTCATCCAAATCCTGACCCAGACACAGTAAAGCCTCATGAATTTATATCAGATGAGCTCAGAATTTGGAACGATGTGCAAAGTATATGTGACTTTTTACTGGAGTACATGTTCGCACAAAACGCTACAATCTGGAATGTTAAGATAAGTGTGGTATGATTTTTAATACTGGAAAATAATGCACATATGCTGAAGAAGCATAATAGCCCGTATCTTAGTTTGAACGTATACAGAAATGTAAACCCATCATAATAAACGTTTTCTGCAGGTGATAATAATTTTTGGTCATTTAGGCAGGACTCCGCCAACCTGCCCACAAAAACTTGATGTCAAGCTAATGAGGTTTTACCGCGTCAACAGCACACTCGGGTGTTCGTGAATAGACTGTGCTTTAGGTGACATAAATTTAAATCTTCATATTGCTTTTATAGAGAACAAGATTTTAGAAACTGGTGTATCAGAACATAAACGAAAACTGATTAACAAGAGGAGGATAACCAGCTCAAAATACGTTCTCTCAAAACAAACAAACAAACAAACAAAAAAACCACAGGGTAAGACACAAGAGGACAAACTTAAGATAAAAAAAAAAAACAGCTTAAAAGAAAGACATGCATGTGTAAGAGAGATTTGCAGAAATAGAACACCGATATTTCTTTAAAAAATACACACAAAACACTGCACACACTTTTTTTTTTGACACTTAAGCAGCACCCAGAGGGCCCCAATGACAAATGCATGGGTGTCCGCGATCATTGGCTATTAAAAACATATGCCCATCTGATTACGTACAATGTACAGTGAGGTTCACAGAATCTTGGTCTTCTCCTACAAGATTTTCTGCCACACAGGAGATCTGCTTTCCACTGTCATCAGATGAAATGTTAGTTATCCTTAAGGAGCCCTGCATGTGGCTTGTTTCATTCTACAAATGAATTAACAGACAAAAACAATCCTTATTAGGGCTGATTCCAAAGTGATAAGACTTGGGGTTTCTCCCCCTACCTAAAGAAAAAAATATACACCATTAGAAAAGGTTTCTGGCCTGAATTGGGGCCAGGCAGAAGCGTAAATCCAGAGCTATTCTATTTCTCTAGGGTATAACGGTTCAATGAGCAAAGTTTCTTTAATCCTGGGATGGCTATCTACCTCTCTCCAAGGGAAGAGACCACAAGGAACATCCCTTACCTTGCTCACAAGGACACAAGAAGCTCACTAGAGACCCAGAGACTCTAATCTACTGGATATACACAACTCAAAAGCAAACCTGCACTCCTCTTTGTTAATTACAAGAATGAACAGAAAGTAAATGTACATCGAAAATTCATCATCAATTTCTCTGTATGGTCCTATGAAATATTAAGGGATCATCACTAGATGAATCCAATCTCAAGTTCTGAGACACTCTCATCTCTCTAGGAACCCAGAGCCAAACAAAAGCCTTACCATATGTTTGGAAACCAGATTACCGACATCCCAGTACAAATTCGGGACTGGATCGCCTTCAACGCTACAAGATAATGTGATAGACTTTCCCTCCTCCACAGTGAGGTTAGGTGCGGCCAAATTTGCTGACGGCAAACCTGTGGAACAAGAAAAGTCAAGCGGAGACATATATGAATCATTCGATGCATTGTCAAAGTAATAGCAAAAAATCAGAAACTCTTCATGCTTTAGAATCAGTAATTATTTACTTTCTGAGACAGATTTATGTTGATCTGAAAAAGTCCTGGGTTGGTAAGCTTTACAGGTTTAAGGTGCACCAAAAATGTGCCATTAGGAGATGTGAAAACAAATTTTGCACATTGCTTAAAAATGTTATTGCACCATAACTTTTTACTATTAAAAAATCTAGTTTATAAAACATAAATTGGTATCTGTAGACCATCTTGTCTTGTCGTTCTCTTCATTTTCCCCTTTGTTGCATCCATATTTTTGCATAAATCCATTTTTTATGCTAAGTGACTCATAAAGATGACCCCACCATCAGACCTAGATTTTGAGACAGTCAGATTACAGAAGAGAATGTAGCTTTGGGGGGTGTTTTTGTTTTTAGAGGGAGGGAGGGGCACAGGGACAGGGAGAGAGAGACTCTGGAACGCACTACACCCTCAGTGCAGAGCCCAACGCGGGGCTCGATCTCAGGACCCTAAGATCATGACCCAAGCTCAAACCAAGAGTGGGATGCTTAACCGACTGACGTGCCCCAAGAAAATGCAGTATTAAAGCATTCTTCACATGAAGCTGGACCGTTAAAATATCAGAATGTCCCAAAGCTATATAAGTCATAGTTCAATATCAAGGGAAAAATGGGTTATAGTAAAATGTTCAGTATGATTTTTAAAAAAAGTCACATGGATCTATACTCCCACATTTCAAAAGCTTTATTGATGCCATTACCACTTCCTTAAACTATCACACCTATTGGGTGTTTACACTGCTTTAACTCACACGGGACTCACAGTATTTTCTGTATGAAGGCGTGTCCCAGAGAGCGTAATAACCGTATGCCAGGTCCTGCCTGTCTAGCTAGTCCCTTACTTGGTATCAGAAACGGCTCGGGGCTGCATTCACCCTACAGCTGTGTCCCATACACCTACAATGCCTCATGAACTCAGGAGCAACCCAGAGGTCAGAAAAGGCAATTCATCTTCAATACTCATTAACTGCAATAAAGCACCCACCTAGGCCTCCCTGACCCACTGTCTCCACAGAACTGTGTATAAACTCCTCTCCCACCACACAGTCCGTACTGACAAAGTCATTCTTCTTTATGACCAAAACCAGCCTGGAACGAGACTGTCCCAGGGGTCTGTCTCACAGTGTCCCCACCATCGGCAGAGGACTTCCCAACCAGACCCGGCTTTCAGTGGCTATCAAGACTCTTCAGAAACTTTCCTGTCAGCAACCCACAGAAAACTGTGTTCTATCTTTCACAGGGTTTCAAAAATGCCCCCTAAGACTCTGAGTTTCATACTCAGAGGTTTTCAATCTGTCATATTTTAGCTTCCAAGTCTCTTCTTTTGTTCCTGGATGGTCTATTTGTATAGGACCCTGTTTTTGTCTCCTGGGTGCAACATCGCCTGATCTCTTTGAGATCTTACTCATTTCTTTTTGAACTTTTCTTCTCTCCACATCAACATTGTTTCTGGCAACTTGTTTTCCTTCATCTTTTTGTTTGGTTATTTGTCTCTTGTTATAAGCTTTTCTCAAACAGTGGGTATCACTGGCCGTTCAGACATCTTTAAGAACAAGACACTAGAAGTGTTGTGCATTTAATGGTTGGTTTCCTTGTAGGGCCATATTCTTAGCCTTTTTCCTGGGTACCTCCTGATGTCGATATCATTCAGTCATTTTGGGACAGAGTCTGGTCAGATTATTCAGATAATGCTCTTCCAGTGTCCTACCCAGAAGAGGAAGTAGGACGGAAATATAAATATTCGGTATGTAAATCCATCCTTCTCTCTATGGTTCTCACAGCCTCAGCTCTTTCTGGAGTTCCTCATAATACTGACTTGATACTCATTAGAGAATAAAACTTCAGTTTTCTGCTGAGGAGGGAGGGGTGCAGTCACCTGGATTGTATGCAGTGAAAATGGGACTAACGGCTCCATCCGGGACTTGACCCACTCTCTTGGGACTGGTGCTGCCTGCAAGCCTGCTTCTTCCTGAGCCTGGTAGCCTGCATCCCAAACCAATTTCCTCTTGCCTTTGCCCTCTGCCAACTTGGTAACCAGCATTCTCAGCCATCGGCTCAGTTTCTATTCGTCTGTCTGCTTTCCAGCTTGCAACCGTTTGCGTCCTGTTGACTCCTCTGCCATTTCCTTGTGCTTAGAGATTTATCTGCTGATTGTGGAGGGATCACAGAGCCAGGGCCTGCCCTGGTGCTTGTCCTCAGGGTATGACCTCCTCCACCAACAGATCGTGGACATATCCCTCTTGGCACCCTGAATACAAACTATGGAATGAATTTCCTACTTCCTAAAAATGCATATAATAGTTTGGAAATTCTGAGCAGAAAAAAAATTTAAGAGAGATTCTCAAGAGAGAATTTATGCCATAATCTCTATTTCCCCAAGAAAATTTAGTGTAGTCTCTTCCATCAAGCCTAAATTTATATAATCAATGCTAAAAAATGTGTGTTTAGTTACAGTAATAGTACTATCATTTACTGGGCTTTCATTGAGCCAGAACCTTTTTTTCTAGTATTTTCAGTGACTGGTTTATGTAACCCTTACAACCATCATAAAGTTAAGTGTTTGTCCTCATCTAATTAACAAAGAATATGAGTTCCGGAAAAGTCTAATACATCTCCCAAAATTGCCTACGTACCTGTAGACCTGGGATTCGGACCAAAAGCTCAAGGTCCTCACTACTAACACTCTACTTCCTTCCCAGACGGCATAGATCCATTTTAGCATAAATACCAACATGTATCTATAACTAAGAATTTAGTTCATTTAGAAAATAATTACGTGTCTATTTGTGAAGGAAGAATGAGTCTCCTTTATTTATAGAGAATTGTATCACCCTGTCACAGCAGTCTCCAAAAGAATCTGCAAAATTGGCCAAGTCTAGATCTTCTAGATGTAAAGTCTTCCACAAATGAGTAAGCATCTGACTCACGTTAATTCTAAAGCATTAATATGCTGGCCAGAGATTCAATAATGGAAAAAACAATCTGTACTTGAAATATCACTTGAGGTTTAATTAGCACAATAAAAATGAATTGGGAGGCATGAACAGCCAAGGCAGGATAAACCATTTGCCAGGCACTACTTCCTGGCTTAATAAGATTTGAAATCGGCACAAGTACAGAGCAAAGCTCAGCAGTGCTTCCAAGAGCTTCCAGCCCTACTGTCATGGGATCCTGATTTAAGCTTCCGAGAGGTCTTCCTCTGCACTCTGAGAAAACTCCCTGGACAGTACAGTTGACCAGCCACCCAGAGTCCACACAGACACCTCTGTGTCAATGTGTCTTGACCCAGATATGTTCAGAAAGGATGCACCAGCCTACGAACCTCGGCAGGAAGTCACCAGCCACTCGGAAAAAGGCTAACTTCCTTTCGACCAGGGCTCCCCAAACTATAATGTGCGTGTGACTCACCAGCAGATCTGATTAGAAACACTGCTTCTTTCCAGTAGGTCTGCATTGCAGCCCAACCCATGGAGCAAACTCCCTGTTCCACAGACCACACTTTGAGTGGCAAGGGTTTAGATGACGGGTGTCGGGGTGGACAATTGCTCACTAGGTTTTGGGGTCTAGGACCATTATTCTTAAACTCAGCAGGGACCCGAGCAATCAGCTCATCCATAGAACTTTCCCCAAAGTGTGTTCTGTGGAACTCAGACTCTTTGACACACTCTGTGTTGGTGGAGGGGGTGGCGGTGAGAATGTAAGATTTAAAAAAATATGAGCCTATAGTAACTTCCATAACTCTGGATGTTTACTATGCACATTACATATGATAAAGCTCCCAGAAGTCCTGCTCCAAAAGAATCAGTTCACTTCCATGGATCTTATATTCCCCCAGCTGTTTTGAGTACACCCTTTCTCTTGTGGTATCTTGTTGTGGTTTTGTTATTTTTATTTGAAGTAACCTGACGAACTAAAAGAGATACACGTATTTAAATTTAGATGTAAAATATATTTAAGGCTACATATCAATGGTATGAATAACATTAATAACTCGTGTTTATTGAGTACTTAATATGCACTAGACCTCATCTGCAATATTCTAGATATTAGGTTATTTGGCATCCTAAAAACTCTTGCAAGTAGGTGTCATTAGTATCCCCATTTCCAGATGAAGTTAAAAAGTACCACAACTAAACAGGTAGCGAGTGGGATCTGGGCTTGACCTCTTTATGTCCATGGCCTTAACCAACACATGGACTGGCTGCCTCCTTTACTGGGCTCAGCCCTGCCTCTGTTCCCTTCCATAAGCACACACTTCCGGACAGTTGACTATGTCTTAGGATCACTGATTTAAAATATGCAGGTTCTCTCCTTTCCTTTATCACCATTCCAAAGGGATAAGAAATGCTCATTATTAGCACAGTATTCAGGTAAAAATAAATTTGGTCGACCTATCCCTACAAACATAAAAAGCAAAACAAGTACGCAGGGTCTCACTTTCTAATCATTAAGGAAAACTAACCTCTAATCATTTGAGTTATTAACTCAGCTTTGCAGTGAGTGAAATGGGTCAGGACTGGGTTTTATTTTTCACCTCTAAGTAGGGATTATATTCTTTCTCATCTTGTTTTAAACAATCTTGTTTAAGCTCTGTTCATTTTGTGTTTGGTCACCATTCCGTATGTAAAATATTCAAATAAATTATGATTTTGTCTACTCTCTCCTCTCCTCTCATGTTCTCTCTTTTTAGCATATCTTCCAATTTCTCTGTCTCTTCAAGCATATATATTTCACTACCAGGAAAGAAGCCAGAACGAGCCTGACCTATTTAGAAGTAGCTGCTTTACACCCAGTTACAAAAATGACAGAAAATTAGCAAAGTGACTTTCCAAGCCCAAATTGGAAATTGTGCTTCTATACTTGTGTGAACCATGTCATTACAGT